GATGTTCAAATTACTGAATTTTTAAACAGTGATACCTTTAAACCTCCCGATTGTTGCTTTGCAAAAGGTGAAAACGAAATTTACGCAATTCATAAAACAGATTTTTCAAAATTGCCTTATACAAATATTTTTGAAGAATTCGCAGTTCGCAATATAACATGTAAAACAATAAATATACAACAAATTCCGCAAATTGAAAATAAGTTAATTGCTACAACACTTGCTACTACTAAAAGTCAAAATGTTCATAATCTTATAGGTAAATATTTTTAATAAAAATTTTAATTGAAAATTTGTATGATATATAACTCAATGAGAACGCTGAAAGGACCCATATACTAATTAAAAATGTAATATATTTTGAATGTTAACGTGATTATAAAATATAATGTAGGATTTTTTAACTAAATAATTTGGAGAGTACATTTAATTGTTAGTAAAATGATTTACATACAGGGTAGCCGGTAATTAGAAAATAACCTTTATATTCTAATTCATTTTAATATTAACAAATACCCGGTGTTGCTGCAAGAAAATGTTCAAATTATTGAATTTGTTAACCTTGACACCATTAAACCTTCCGATTGTTGCTTCGGGAAAAGTGAAAACGAAGTTTACTTGATTTATAAAACAGATTTTATAAAATTGGCTTATAAAAACATACTTGAAGCAATTCTTGATACCATGAGTTTAACATTTAAAACAATAAACATACAACAAATTCCGCAAATTGAAAATAAGTTGATTGCTACAAGAATTGCTGCTGGTAAAAGTCAAAATTTTTATATAATTTTTAATTGAATCATTGTGCTATGAAAGAAATCATACTAATTAAAAATGTTATAAACTCAGGGAATTAACTATCTTTACGTTAGAGAAATTAATTACTCCAAAACGAATGATCCAATCTTAATCATCTCTTCATTGATTTATAGCCCTTTCGTTTTGCGTTGCAAAAATATTTTTATTGTATTGAAATCTACCATAGTAACTGCGCAATTTAAATTTGCAAAAAAGGGGTTTTCCATTGAAAATACATTGGTTTTTGTCATAGAGAATTCACAGTAACAGAAATGATGTTTGTGAACTCCATTTATTCCTAAGGGAAACAATTGTTTGTACACAAAAACTATACAAGAAAAATTAATATGATAACTAGATTTGAAAGAGAATCTAAATAACCAGTACTTATTTTAGGAATTTTTTTTATAAACATTAAGATTAAATTTTGAATTAAAGAATTTTATGTTTAAAATAAAATTTTACATAAATTTATACCGGGTGTCCCATCGTATCAGTACGATTTTTAAATTAAATTAAAAATATTTACAATTTTATTTTACTAACAAAAAAACTATACCAAAATGTTGGAAATGTATTCAAATTTTTTATGCAATTCATAAAATATTCACTAAATGCATACCCTGATCATAATTTTAGTTTTACCGCATGCATGTCTTTTTTGTGTAATACCATAGTAATACTACTGTATAACTGTCACCGAACGCTCACATCAATGCTTTGTAGTCATAGCGCTCTAAGGAATTAACGATTTTATTTGCATAATAAATAGACATGCATGCAATCAAACTAAAATTATGACCAGGGTATTGATTTTATGAATCCCACATAAAATTTTAACAAATTTCCAACATTTTGGTATAGTTTAAGTTAGTAAAATATAATTGTAAATATTTTTAATTTAATTTAAAAGTCGTACTGATACGATGGGACACTCGATATATTTATAAATTTAATCACTAAGAAATTTAATTTTGATAAAAAATTCCTGAAATGCTTATTTTAAAATAAAGTAATCAAATTAATTTTCTCTAGTATAGTTTTGCTGTACAAACAATGATTATTTATTCCCTTAAACAGCAAACAATCAAAGCCAATTTCTACAAATTCCTTTTAAATGGGCTAATTTTATCATGGTTAGTTTAAGTTGGAAACATCGTGACTTGTCAGTAAATTGTGCAGGTATAATCGGTATTAACGCAATCTATATGCCCATATAGACAAATTGAATTTATCAGACTGGGCAAGTATCATGAGCTTGTTCCGTAAATCCAGTTATAAACATATTGACTTAATGATTTCCTCATAAAATAACATTATTTCTATGGACGGAACTTCATACACACTTTGACGGTAATGAACCGTCAGATTAAAAGCAAAGTGTCGTTAGGTTCATGGATGTTTGCACATAAATTCATATATAAAACTACTAAAAATATGCATGTATAATACTATGTTACTTTATGTTCAAAATCAGTATGTCAATATGTATATAACTGGATTTACGGAACAAACTTATGATATTTGCCCAATTTGATTATTTCAATTTGTCTATATGGGCATATAGTTTGCTGTAATACCGATTATAACTGCCCAATTTACTGACAAGTCAAGATGTTTCCCACTAAGAATAAATGGAGTTCCCAAACAGTTTTGTAATATGCAATTTCTATGACCAAATCTAATGTATTTAATATAAAAACTTAAATTCCGAATTACCATTTTAGATTTCTATAGAATGAAAAATATTGAAAAAATCCACAGGGTAAGATCTAACGTAGTGTACTTTAAATTTTGCAGTAAACATTTAATTAAAATATTGTAACTTATAATAATAATAACATCAATAACATCATAATAACATAATAACATCATATCATTTTAAAGCTTTGTTTTCAGACAGTAAATTAAAAAAGAAATTATTTCAATTGAATTTCTAATCAATAAATAATGACTAATAAACGAGAGATAGTTCTGATAAGGGGTTTGCGAGAGTTTCCCATTGAATAGCATTACGAGAACAGTGTTGTGTCGCGCGTTTCAAAAACACATACATTTTTATAATAGGTTTTGCATTGATAGCAAAAAGGGTTTGAGGACTACCTCTCGTTTATTAGTCATTATTTATTGATTAAAAATTCAATTGAAATCATTTCTTTTTTAATTTACTGTCTGAAAACAAAGCTTTAAAATGATATGATTTTTAATATGTTATTATTATTATAAGGTACAATATTTTAATTAAATGTTTACTGCAAAATTTAAAGTACACTACGTTACTTGTACCTGGTAATTGAAATTTTAAAACAATATAGCTGCTATACTGTGCTATACTATACTTTTACTGTATACAATAAAATATTATTAAAATATAAATTGCATTTTGTTACTATTAGTAATTATGTAATAAATTTATTTTTAAGTTAAATTTATAATTATTTATTTGTCAACATCTTAATAAAGTAATTAAAACATAAAAATTAAAAAGTAAAAATTATCACAATATGTATACTAATTTCAAAACATAACTTTCTCTTAATTTTCGGAAACACTTTCGCAATCCTTGGGTTCACTACTTGTCCTACTCTTACGATAAAAACAACAAAAAATCCAATTTTTCAAAAAACTCTTAAACTTTTCGGGATTTTCTTTATACATCTTATTGACGGCTATTATGACTATCGATGAGGTTATGAGAGACGCGTCGCGTCTCTCATAACCTCATCGATAGTCATAATAGCCGTCAATAAGATGTATAAAGAAAATCCCGAAAAGTTTAAGAGTTTTTTGAAAAATTGGATTTTTTGTTGTTTTTATCGTAAGAGTAGGACAGGTAGTGAACCCAAGGATTGCGAAAGTGTTTCCGAAAATTAAGAGAAAGTTATGTTTTGAAATTAGTATACATATTGTGATAATTTTTACATTTTAATGTCTATGTTTTAATTACTTTATTAAGATGTTGACAAATAAATAATTATAAATTTAACTTAAAAATAAATAATTTATTAGATAATTACTAATAGTAACAAAATGCAATTTATATTTTAATAATATTTTATTGTATACAGTATAGCAGCTATATTGTTTTAAAATTTCAATTACCAGGTACAAGTAGTAATGCCTTTTGTATATTTATTTTTATTACGAACACCAAGATTGTCCAATATGATGATCTCCTCAATAAGTTAATACATTTGTTGATTCTCATAGCTGGCACATTTAGTCTGGTATAATAATATTTAATACTGGTATAATTTATTAATTATATTTATATTTTGATTATGATCATGATATGTGAGTCAATATAACGGATGATACCTGACATATAGGCTTATCTTTCGCTTCTTGCAAGCTTTTTTTGCTTACGACTAAATATCAAAATCTTTAGTATATAAAGTCTATGAGTTTAAGTTAAAAAGATATTAATATTTCGTTGTAAGCAAAAAAAGCTTGAAAGATGCGAAAGAAGTCAGGTTTCATCCGTTATATTGACTCAGATGTATTGTTTTTAAATAAAGTATATTCATGCTATTTTTAATGTTAACTTTCATATGAATGCCAGTCTGCTATAGTCGACTAAGTCTCACTTATTTCAGACTGTAATCAAAGTCTTAAACGTATAATAAAATATTCAATTATGAGTAAAATAATTGTTTTCTTTAAATATATAATATAAATGATAATTAAATATATTTATTAAATTATAAATATCATTTATTGTTATAATTAATCTAATTTGATGATATAAAACTAACATTAAACTTTTAAGTAAATAATTATCATGTAACTATTGACAAAACTAATTGCATAATTTACAACTATAACTATGCATAAAAGTTTTATTAAAAAACATTTTATTTTTAACTATCGTTGAAGATATTTCGTATTAATTGTTTTTTTTTCATAAATATAAATCTCTTGTATTTTATAAGCCTTTATTGTTTTATACTAAATGATTAATTCATATAAATTACTATATTTTATAGTTATTTAAACAGCTGTAATTAGAAATTTTATAAGTTTAAAAATTAAATATGTTGCCTATCTAAACATAAATACGGTGTTCATAAGCTATCACAAAAAGTACTATAATACTTGCATAATATATAAATAATTGATTAAATCAACTTGGTATCTATTAAATATTTTGAATAATTAATTTTATTTAATTATTAATAAATTACAATTATAATAATGTTCTGCAGCGTTAATATAGATGTAATATTATAATATTCATTATTACTATTTGGTGCACGTAGTAAGACCCTTTGTGTATTTATAGTCTTTACAATCACCAGCACCATCCAGCATAATCATTATATTGAGCATTTTATTCATTGGTTGTAATTCATAATCAAAGCAGGTATGCTAAAATTAGATATTTATAAATTCATAAAATTAGATTCTGATTATCAATACAAATATAGTTGCATTATTATAGTATACTTATAGTATATTATTTATTACATACATTTCCAGCCGACAAATAGCAGTCAATTCCCACCCAATTGAGACAACATTGATAGCTATCCACATAATAATCCAGGTTCATTTCGGGAATTTTCTGAAGAATACAGTGAATGGCATGCAGTTTACTTTTTGAAACACATGAATTGTTATCATTACATAAATTATTGAATAACTAAAGTCTAAAGTACACTTGTAAGTAGTGTTTTGACAATTGTTCCTATTAAGGTACTTAATGTTAATTTCGACTTTTATTTTGAAAACACTAGTAGTAAAACGACCGTAGATTGAGATCCTAATTTAATTTTATTAGAAAATTATATAATTTTATATTTTTATAATTACAGTGACTTTAAAAAAAATTTCAGAGTATTTAATTTGAATGATATTTCAATATATCATTTTGCTGGGTAGATTGAGATCCTAATTTAATGTTATTAGAAAATTATATAATTTTATATTTTTATAATTACAGTGACTTTAAAAAAAATTTCAGAGTATTTAATTTGAATGATATTTCAATATATTGCAAAATATTATAAATATATTTATTTAATCAGTTGATATATAAAAACAATTAATCAGTATTTTATTAATTTCAAATCCTACAACTGATTAAACAGTATATTTTAAAGAATTACACTTTTGTAATAGATACTCTAACTTTATAAAATGGTTGTACTTAATTTACAGCTACATTCTCAAATAATATTTATTTTTAAAATCAGTCAATAAGATAATCAAGATAATCATGGAATTTGTAAAAAGCTAATTAAAATAAAATTTTATTATAACCTTTTATTCTCTAAAATTTAGACTCTAAATACAGTAATGAACTCAATTTGTAATTTATATAAATTTATAAACAAGTCAAACTGTTCATGATTGTAGCATATTACATAAAATTATTTTTTGCATTCAGTAAGTCCCTTTGCGTACTTAAAATTTTTGCAATCACCATTGTTATCCAAAATTATCATCTCGTCAATAAGCTTGCTCATATTCTGTAATTCACTTGGAGTGCAATTATTCTGAAAATTAAATTACATTGCTTAAATATTTTTAAAAATATAATTATATTATTGACTTACACTGGCGGCCGCCAAATAGCAATCAATGCCCACCCAATTGAGACAACATTGATAGGTGCCAAACATATAAACTAGGTCAATATCGGGCAGTTTCTGTAAAAAGCAGTGACTCGCATCCAGGTCAATCTTTCTAACACACGAATCATTTCGAAATGTGAGAATTGTTTTTGAGAAACTTAATCTTAAATGATTATACACCAGGACACTATTGACAATTTTAATTGCACAAATTGCAAATAAAATTAAAGCCAAAACTTTAACCATAGCCATTTTAAAAATTAATTATTCAATTTTATTAACTTTGTAGATCTCGGTTGTTTTTATACTTATAAAATTTTATGATAATAGGTAATATACGTGACATGACTTTTTGTATTTAATCAATTGTACAGTAAATGAAAAAACAATTAATGAAAATTTTATTACATAATAATTAAACTTATAATTAAACAATAATATTATTTAATAATGACATTAGTTGTAAGTTGAATTAATTGTATTTTATAATAAAATATTTTTATTTATTTAATTAAAATATGTTTTTTAATTTGTTAATTAAAGATTTATTATTAATTAAAAATTAATATATTTAAATATAAATAAATTTTTATACTATGTTCAAAATTAGATATTATAATTTTAATAATTTCAATAAGACTTTGTGTAATTTGTAAATAATAATTTTCTTAATTTTGTTGTATTTGCTTCAGTATACAATAAATAATGAACATTAACTTAAGTACCACTTATGAAAATGTCCATAACAATTTTAGTTGTTGTGCATAGCGTGATACAATTTACTTATGACAGTTAGTAATGCCTTTGACATATTTATCCAGCTTGCAATCACCATTATTACCTAGATAAATTACTTCATCCAACAATTTAGTCATTTGTTTTAATGAGGAGTAATCACATTTATTCTGCAAAATATTATTTTAATTCATAATTAAAACAAATAATTAATTAAAAACAATATTATATATTTTTGTACTAATACATTTTTATGATAAACACTTACAGTTGCAACTGATAGATAACAATCAATTGTCATCCAATTGAGACAGCACACATATTGCGTGGAATTGTTATCCAGGTCTAAATCGGGAAGTTTCTGCACTAGACAATGACTGGCATCCATGCTCATTAATTTAAAGCAATTATCATTTTTGAGATAATTAGTGGCATTTTTGATAATTGGTTTAACATGGTCGTATACAATGTTAGTATGGGATATACTATACGCATAGCTTGCAACTATAAGTAAAACCACTACTGTTAAACTGAACATTTTATTTTAAATTAACCTGTTTATAATAAATTTCTAAATACTATAGTATTGTAGTAATAATAAAAAAGTAAAGACTGCGTTCACTACTAATAAAATATATTTTATTTAAACATATCAGGAGATGTCCGTTACATAAGTGACTCAGTTATGAGAGACAGAGAGTTATATAATATTAATATTCAAAGAGTTATGGATTGAAAGGGTTGATAGGAATGCATAAACAATCCTTGTATTTAGATATCCATTACATAAGTAAACATTTCATAAGCAATTCATATTAACATTGGATTCTTATTGTTTTACATAAACTTTAAATATTCAAAACATATTCTTCAAACTTATAAACATTAGTTATGTAACATTATTGTAAAACAGATACTGCAGTATTTTTAAATTCTTCTATTTTTATACTTTCTAAATTATTTTGAAATAATACTCATTAAAAGTTTATTTAGACAATCGTGTAGAATAAAAAAACCTGTATAAAAATAAAACATTTAGATCTAATTAAATAATTAAGTTAGTAAACATACAATTCAATTTTATTTATTACTTGTATAAACAGTCAAACAGTATTTATAATAAAATTATTTATAAAATTGTATGATATTATAATAGGTAATATACGTGAGATGACTTTTTGTATTTAATCAACTACATGCAACTACAGTACATGCAAAACAATTAATAAAAATTTTATTACATAATAATTAAGCTTATAATTAAACAATAATATTATTTAATAATGACATTAATAGTAAGTTGAATTAATTGTATTTTATTAAATCAATATTTTTATTCATTTAATTAAAATCTGTACCAATATTATAAAGTGGAAATTATAGTCTAAATTTTCTATATTTTCTAAATTATTAATTAAATTACAAAAGTTAAAAGGTAAAAGGTAATTAATATCTTATATTAATAATTAAAGGATTTTGTCTATGAAAAAATACTATACAAATGAATTAATATAATCATTTTAATTTATTCAAACATTTTTGTATATTATTTTTAAACAAATTTAAAATTAGAAATTATAATTTCAATAATTTATTAAATAACACTTTTTTGTGTAATTTGTAAATAATTATTTTCTTATTGAATGAAAATGCCCATAATTTTAGTAGTTGTGCAGTTAGTAATGCCTTTGACATATTTATCCAGCTTGCAATCACCATTATTACCCAGTGAAATTACTTCGTCCAACAATTTAGTCATTTGTGTTAATGAGGAGTAAGCACAATTATCCTGCAAAATATTATTTTAATTCATAATTAAAACAAATAATTAATTAAAAACTATTATATATTTTTGTACAAGTACATTTGTATGATAAACACTTACACTTCCAACTGATAGATAGCAATCTATTGCTGTTGTAATATAAGGTATATATCCACAGCAAATTTCACGTACTTTATGTAGAAAATAAAAATATTTATATTTTTTAAAGAAGTTTTAACACTAATTAAAATAAAAAATTTAAACCCAAATCCATTTTATTTTTAAAACAAATTAATTACAGTACTTTTAAATCAAATTCAAGTAAATTAAAATCATAATTCTGATAATTTAAAATATAAGTCTCAAAGAAACTAAGCTATAAAAATTTTAATAAGTACAATAATATAAAATAAACAACCAAAATAAGGTTAGGAATATTATAAAGCATATAACAAACATAGGAGTAGGAGGTGACCTAAATCTTTTAAACTGTCTATTACTTTTCAAGGTTAATTTTAAAACGACGATTTTCTTTACGCATAAAATAATCTGCGGTGAATCTCGCTTTAACCAGGGCACATAATGGTTTGGAGCCATCCTCTAGATGGTTGTGCATATAACAAGGTTTATAATCACCAGTACCATATACATTATCTGATATAATCTCTTCATTGCTTGGGCTTGGATTATCTAACATTTTGGTTAGATCAACAATGCGATCTCAAAATCCTGCCAATCCTAGCATTTTAACACTTGGATTATCATTGACAAAACCAATATATCGCCGATCGAAAGTATCGTTAGTCATGTAGAGGAATTTGAGGGCAGGTATAACATCACTTTGTTTCTGCGAATCAGCAACTTTCAAATTGAAAGGTATACCGTACTTACAAATCTGGGTAGTACTTGACGGTCATTTAATCATATTTGTCTAGATAGGTATATTTTTTACTCGTATGAAACGTGAGCACACCATCAAATTTACGGCTCCAATATCCAATCTCTAAAATCTCAAAATCGTCTTCAACATGAAATCCATTAAAACAAACTATTAAACGTATTTCATTAAAATTCACAGCTTTTGGATTTGTAAGACCCATGATTTTAATGAATACTTAACTTTGAAAGTCTAATTATTTATACTTAAAAATATTATTACGTAATGTCATACGCCATAAAAATATTTGTATATATTGCGGTTAATTTGCTAGCTTTACTTATTTTAAAAATGTTTTCACTTATCAATTTTTTTACAAATATAATCATTTTCTCATTGTTGTATATAAGATTTCTTCAACATGAATTTAATATTTTATTGCAAAAGCAACCTATTGATAATATTATTAAAGACTAGTAATTTGTGTTATCAAATTATATCAAAAATTAAATCACTTATAATACAGCTTGCAAAATAAGATTTTATTTAACCATGAGTGAAAATATATATAATGCATGCTTTGAACACACATCTAGATTTATTATCTACGGTCCATAATGTTCAGGAAAAACTACTTTTGTAATCAATTTATTAAAATATTTAAATAATTTGTTTGAAAACAAATTCATAGGATTGTTTATTGCTCAGATTCTGGGATAGAATTTCATAATAT